TAACACGAGAAAGGGAACTTCACGCGAAATCGAAACTCTGTTATCACGGGCATACTCGTTTCGGTGTTAATGAACACCTTTTGGATCGTTAATGAACATAATGCATACCTTCATCGGGGGTACCGCAATCGCAAATTGCAATCGCAAGTATGACACGCGATGATGCAAAATATCAGCCAAACTTACGCATCCAAAATTCGCAAAAATTCTTTTTAGTAGTAATTGATTAGATGCACGTACTATCGATCAACGTCGCAGGACACATTGCCGAATTGCAATTTCTGTTTATTACAGAGGCCCTGATAGTAGTCAAGCGTCACGTTGGCGCATGATTATTATTGGTCCACCGGTGTATTATTGATTGCAGCGAGAAATCCTCTCGGCGAGATGGCGAAGGTGGAAAACGCGGATGCGCGGAATTAACGCGCGTGCATTTACACCTGAATACGGGCTCGCTAGAAATCGCGAGGCACGCATGTGAATGGGGTGCTCAAGTGCAGACACGTGGCATGTCGAGACCTTAATAGCTCAGTCTCATGACTAAAAGGGATTCGCGAAAGCACCGAGGGCGGAGCTGGTCCGACTGTTAGCAGCTGCATTTTCAGTTGTTCCACACATCCAATTCACCCTTTGATAGCACTGACCCAGATACGTGTCCGAATAGACACGTCGAAGAGCAATCGATAACCTCTTTCTACGCAATTAACTCCTCTTAACGCGCTCATCGCGTTCTCTGCTGGAAAAATTACCTACAGATGTAGTCGAGAAAATTGCCGGTCCTTGTTGGAACTTTATTATAATTGCCGGTTGTTAAAATTACACGTTTTCATCCTTAAACTGGCCGTTGCCGTAGAATTTCAGGCCATTGGTATTTCCCTGGCCACCTGCGATAGATTCGTCTCCCATGATTTTATATTTCCTGGTATATTTATTTAAATCGGTTTATGGCTTCTGATATTTCTATCTCGACAATTTTGCGTTTACATTTGTGGATTATTTCGATTTTATTGTCATTTGACTTTGGTTGCAGCGATGAAGACGAAAAGAGCGAGTAGGACTACTTTGGTAGAGAAGCTCGTGGTTGATTTTAATTTCTTTCCTCCTCGTAACAGGATTCGTAACTTTAAAATGTTTTCCGCTCGAAGAGTCTGATTTGATCAGAAAATTCTTGAATTGCGAAAGGCTAATAATTAAATTTGACGATGACACAAGTTGGAGCACAGGAGTCAGGTATTCTCTCGTACAATATGTATACTAATTAAAAAAATTCGTGAATTCTTGGGAAAATCTTCCATTTAACCACGAACCAACTCGGACTACCTTCAACTTTGATCTTAAAATCAAAACACCATCCGTGCAAGCTTCCACCGATTCTAGGTTCTCGCGTCAGGTTCATATCACGATTCTTTGGTCGTCGTGGTCGACGCTAGCTGCGACGCCGGCGTCTCTGGCTTCCGTCTGGAACGTCATGCGAACTCTTATTAAAGGTGGCGATTTATCGCTGGTAATAACGGTGCGGTCTGGTGCTGCGAATGTGTCTCTCGAAGGTTCCTAAGGGAACGAGGTGGCACGAACGCCAGCCTTGTGGTTCAAGGTGTCGAAAAGTACGGGCTCATTCACGGTCGACCTTGCGTCTAGCATGCATATCTGATGCAGCGTAAAAAGCTACCAGTGACTTTCAAAATATTCGCAAAGTTTTATAACATAGGAAATTGGAAATGGGAATATTTGATTTGTCTTTGCGAATATTCGTAAAAATACCTAAGGTGTTATCGTTCAGGTGTTAAATATCGTCTGAATCTCGAATTTTCAATGTTCAAAGTTCCTATAGTTCTTCAAAAATTGCTCTTTTTCCAAGAAAAAAGCTCCGTATCCTCTTTCACAAAGGAATGACATAGAATTCTCCCAACTCGAAGAGATTAGTACACAGGTTACAGAACCCTGGTCCGAAATATTGTAAATCCGATAGATATACATCAGCCAGTAATTATCGTTGAAATTATAGTTTATTATTATGGAATTTAAAATGCGACTAAGAAAATAACACCGCGTTACGAAGATTCCCTCGCTGAAGTTATTCGACATATAGCAGCAATTGCCTGTGTAAGATACACAATCCAGAAAATAATAAGGAACGGTTCTCAATTATACGAGTGCTTGGTTCTAGCCGTAGGGTAAAGTCAGCTGTGAATCCTTAACAGCGAACGTTATGCGCTCGGGCTGTGCTAGATTAACAATCCTTGGCGTTTCAGTGTCGCTTTGGATGCGTTGACGCTACTTCAAGCTAGCGGAGAGCTCGACTGTAACGAGCTTCAGGATTGATTAACCGTGGCGTCGAGCGACGCGCAAGCAACTCTACTTCTGCCAAGTCTGGGCAAACGAGTCGACGTCCCGATCCCTTGGCGAAGGATCAGCGGAGCCTTAATTACGCTTGATTAATAGCTTCTTCGACGGATTGTCGGCCGACGGAGTCGGCTGTTTAACGGAGGTCTACCATCATTTTTCGGCGAGGCTGTTTCTCCGACTAATTGTCGGTACACCGCCCAAAATAAAACGTCATTGGGTGGTTAGTCCCCACAGGGGAGGGTGTAGTATAAGGTATAGTCGGAACGACTCGTTGTGATCCTCTAAAATGTCGCCTTTGATTCATCCTTCTCCACCCAAGTCTTCCTTTTCTGTGGCTAGAGAGCTTGGGCAGAGGCGAAGGTTCGATAAGCTTGCAGACGATAACGCTTTGGTCGAGATGTTCCTCTACCGAATGTGTAATACTCTAATTCGGTAAGTTGTCATTGACTTAAGTAGGAAAACTTGGTAGTTCCACTTCGGGCCTTTAGATCCCGCCGTTATTCCGTCGGTCTCTGTTGACTCCTGGGTGTTCTTAATCGGATCTCAAGACCTTGCAGAGTCCCGTGTGCGGTCCTATGGTCCCGTGCTCATTGGTATCCGTCGGTATTTTATAAAAGCACGAGAATAAGAGGGAATAAGAAAGTGTAGACCTAGTGATGCAATATACTCGGTGGAATAATACCGAATTCTCGATCTTCTTATTCCATCGGTATTTCCAATCTCGACAGCAGTCCACTCTGCTTATTAAATACTTTCCGGCTATATTTATCGCATTGCAAAGGTGCAATGCTTAAGGCAAGAATTCAGAAAGAGGCGACTTAGAGACGCGTCGAATTTCGTTGACACGCGGCAGCTGTTCCTTTGAATTCTTCACGAATGGGTAATGGATCTCTGGTTTTAAACTAGGATTTAAAGAATACATCACCTGCTTGAATAATCGAGAAATCGGTCGAACATTCATAAGTGAAATGTCTAATCTATTGATATTCATCTCGTGAATTGGTAAACGGATCAGTCGAGCATATGTTAAGAGATGACATTTGATGTTTTGTCATCGGACGGAAATCAAAATATATTTCAATGAATTTATTATCCTCTTTGCGAATTTTCCGAAAATTGTCAGTATGTGTTGATTTATAGTTACGAAAGGGGGTTAACCCGAAATAAATGTTCCTCTCCGATGATCGCTCCTTCTCTTTTTCACATTATAGCCATATAAACGAATTCGCTTCAGTTACTTAAAGTCACGAGTAAAAATATTTTTACGGAAAGCTGTTTTTGACATGATAAGTGGAGTGGCAGAGAATATTTCATGCTCATATTAATTCTTTCAAATAGAACCATATATCTTAGCGATGTTATAGTACTGGGCTTCGAGACAAATGTCAATATTTTCCTCGATTTATCAAATAGCAACGCACGATTACGCGATTATGCGACCATTTCGTATCAATTGAATTGCTCAGATCCTAAGTATATTTTTCTGCTTTCATGTCTCGAGAAAGTAATTGAACTGGTTAGGACGAGACCAGCACGAAAACAGCAATTTCTTCAATTTCCGCGACTCAAAATTTTCATAAAATTGCGAGGATCGAGACGACCACACACTTTTCTCGAGACGCGTCTTTGATATCTAGCTGGTACAGGAAACGTTTCAAACGAGAGGGGAAATGACTTAGCTGTAATCTTCCGTTTTTCAACGAGCAAGCTCGTCGAAACGACCGGCTATAGCACCGAAATAGATTACAAACGTAATATTTCAGCCCGCCATAAATATTCTCCGTTAAAGTTGCCAACCTCTCGGCTCTTTCGCCGTTGCTTTGGCTCCTTCTTTTTAAGGCAGCCCCTTTCGCGGACTGCTGGTCGCCAACGCCGCGATCTAATTGGGATAAGACGGATTTTTGTACCAGGTGGCCCTTAATTGGTTGGCCATCATTACGGGTGGTCTCGCGGTTCTAATTACTGTAGTTTGCGATGCGGACCTTTATATACGCTCGTGCACACGACTCTCAAAAGATTTTCACGGACATCGAGGCGAATTAATTATAATGACGTCCACGCTGACACTTTGCCATACCTAAATGCTACCATTTCGCGTAATTTTCCTTCCGTTATTATTTTCACGTCAAACGATTTACGTGGAATTAGGCGACTCCTGACTTTCCGACCTGCAGTTCTTCTCAAAATACCGCTTTCAATGAAAATTCGAGATTTTCCATTTCCATCGTGGATATTTGTAATTTATTTCTACACTCGCTTCGGGGATTTAAAAATATTACTAAAATTTTCTACTCTTCGTGTCTGAAAATTGTCAATGAACAGTGCTGGTATTAACCATTAGGAATGAAATTTTATTCGTATTATTTATCTTTGTAAAACACTTACGAAAGGATAACAATTACGTATATAAAAGGTGTTACTTGATATTTCATGTAATAAAAATATAATTACTATGACGAGTGTCGAGAAGTGTCATATTTAGCTGTGTCCATAATTCACGAATCATACAGATCTTTCGCTTATAATACTGTCGGTGATCGTGATACTAGTAGAATACATTCGTTGTTTTCTGTGGTAATATGAAGTAAAAATGCGAAAAAGTAATTTTCGTTAAGAAATTCCACTTTCTTATATACTTCGTTGGTCCTTTATCGTTACTCTCCTGCGTAATTCCATTCTTGAATCTCTCCTGAACCGAAGAACACGTACACAATAAACGCAGACGTCTGAGCAATTATGTTCAGCCAGAAAACGTGTCTCCATCGCTCCATAGTGTGCTAGATTATAAACGTGTGAGATCAATAAAAATAAGAATAAAGTTTGCATAATTCATGATACTCGCATATCATGTTAGCGACTATAATTCGAATGATCTGAGATATAAGCTCGTAAATGCTGCAAAGAGGATTTTTGCGAATTGAAATGATCAATTTCCAAGAAATTCACGGACCCGTAAAGATAGGGAACATACAAATAGCATATTGTTTTGTATTCCACGTATGTATGATAAAAATAAAATAAAATTAAATAATAATTAGAAGTGTGAATAATTAGCTCTCGTGATTACCATATACGATGTCACGAGATTTTGAAATTCACGTATTCGCAAATTTTAATCCACTTATTCACCATTTTATTTTTATATGTTTTTTCGTCTGTGCTGTCACTAATTTATTAATTTCTTTATTAAATAATTAATTTCCAAGTTTCCATTTAAACTTAAATCGGTTATTTCCACAATAACTAAGGAAAATTATATAGATAGGTGTAATATTCCTTGAACTGCAGTTAAAATTTTAAAATTGCTTTGAAATCGCGATATTACTCGCACGCGAAAACCTATCATTTAAACGTTTCTTTAGATATTTTATATCGTCATCCGTAATCAAGCAACTCGTATTACCAAGCAGGTTTTTGCTATTTGGAAAATATGCCCGGAAAGCAAGTTTGATCTCGGACTCACCCCATTTTCCATGAGTGCTCCTACCAAGGCAGGCAAAATAAACGCTGAAATTGTCCCCGGGGTATTCGTAATGCCCATTAAGATTCCCGCGTAGTTTGGTGCCAGATCGTTTTGATTGCAGAGATGACCAACAAAAATCGCACCGCACAACACTATGCTCAGTATTAATAATATCGTGGACCCTGTGCGATTGCAGCCGATATAGGCTATCAACACTAGGCATAAACTCGGTGGGACACAGCCTGCGAATTGAACGAAAAGCACACGTTATATAATTACACATTCGATATCTTACGACTGATATATGAACGGAGAATACGGAGATAATTGCTTCAGATTTCAAGCGATCAAGCTGTGGAGATAATTCTCCGGAATTTTAAATTCACTTATTATTAACGTCCCGACTTTTTAGTGTCATATACATTTAAAGACTGAAGTGAAAAGTTCACGATGCTAGGAATAGACAGTAGAAAAGACAGTATTAGTACGAATGCAACATAATTAAATAAAATGCTTCCCAATTTTCATTGAATAATTTCGTTAATCCGTTAATTTTGCGTTTGGTAAATGGAATTGGTAAATAACTGAATACAACTTACTTATGAATACTGCGATTTTTCGAGCATTGGTCTGTGACCAATAATTCCTTTGCCTGCCCCAGTCCAATACTCTACCCAGGATCGGGTTCGTTATAGCGTTTATAAGATATGGAGAGCAGCTCAGGAGGGCATTCTACGTAATCAAGTATACAAGTTGATAAATTGAATAATTCAGAGCTCAATTATTTATTACTATTACAAACTACCTCGTGGTATATCGCGACAATCCCGACTGCAGTTTATGCTACATACGTGGATGTCATTACTCGCAACTCGACGACGAGTGTGCAAATCGTTGAAAACAATGGCGATTGTAATCGTGCTAACAATAAGCACACTCTTCTCTGACGTTAGATTTTACTCGAAAATTAACGAGACGCTTTCTTCGATATACAAAAACATAAAAAGTTGCAAAATTTTTAGAAAAATGCTACTGCAGCTTTAAAGAACCTTCTGTCATTTTATTTTGCGATACGTTAAATTCTGATCTGCGCATGGCAACATGCTCTGATGTTGTACATGCCTCTGTACAAGCAACTAAAATTTGCTTTGTTCAATTACTACGGAATTCGCGTTATCGGTGAGCGATGCAACGAGATAAAGACAGCCTGTTCTCATCGGACTGCCATTTTCTATCGTAACTTTGAAGTGTTCCTAGGAAAAGCTCGCTCCACTTACCGACTTGATATCGAACCTGAGTATCTTGTTCATGTACAACGGTAGCTGCGTGAGCAAGAAGTACCAACAGAAATTTCCAAACGTGTTGGCGTAGATCAGCGCCCAGAATGGCACCGACGTGAAGATAGCTTTCCATGGTACCTTCATCGTGGACGATTCCAGGGTCCTGTGCCCGTAGGCGGTCACGATGTAGTCCCTTTCCGCCTCGGTGATGTATTCCTGCGTTTCCGGGTTGTCGGCGAAGAACCAATAAAATACCACGCACCAAATTAACGGCAACGTGCCGTGTATGTAGAAAACTGCCTGCCAGCCGATGGAGTTGAGTATCAGGCCAGAGGTTAATATGGAAACCACGGTGCCAAGCGACGTTCCAGCGTAGATAATACCGACCCACATGCTCTTTTCTTCGTAAACCACCCATTTGCCAACGAGTACGTTTACCACTGGAAGATTCGCGGCGCTCACAAGACCCGTGAGGAATCTCACGATGTAGAGTAGCACCAACACGTTTGCAGTTACCGGTACCAACAGCGTCAGGAACGCGTTGCTCAGGATGCAGATCAGTAGGACGTTTTTCGTATTGAAACTGTGAAATAACGATGACACATCAGGGGTCTAGTTTGTCGAGAGTGGATTGCGAGATGCTGCAACTTTGGATCTTTAATTGACGTGGTAATTATCATTTGCTTAATAGCAAAGTAATTATGATTGTTAGGAATACAGATACTTCGTCTTTCACTGGTGCTAGGTTTTTGCAAAGTCTAATTGCGAAGGTTTATTTATAATTTCAAGAATAAATTTAAAAAGTATGGGTTTCTCTTCTTCAGTGACATATATAAATCTTCCAGCAAGGGAAAAGCATTTTCTCAGAGATTATAAATCTAATGCGATCAAGTCGATACAGTATGGCAGTTGTAAGCACCTTGAAGATGTACGTTCGCATTGGATAACTAGGTAATACCTAATATCTTGATAGCAAGCAAAAATATCACAAAGGATTTAAAGAACCCAAGGGAAATTTTCTGTTCTTTCATATTTTCTAATCTCACTAATGATTATAACAATCGCACGTGCGGAGTGTGCTTTGGAATATCAATGTTCGAAGAATATATGTCAAAGCCACGTGTATCAAAGACGAACAAAGATTTTATACTATTGCCACTGTGTATCCCCGTTATCTCGTTAAATAACCTCCTGTCAACGTTTTTGATAAGAGACTCGCGTTCTCGTATAATTCGTTTCGCGTACATTCAGCGAACAGTCTCGTTCTGGGATTTCACTCACCGATCCGCGAAGTATCCCGACGGAAACATGCCTATGAGGTACCCAGCGAAGTAGATGCTGACGATCAATCCTTGCTCCGTTGTGGTCCAGTCGAACGGACCGTCGATATCGACTTTCGAAACGTCCTCAACCCCGAAATCGCACTCTTGCGACGCGTCGCCATTTTCGTGAACGTGCTTCTTGGATTTAACCATGCCCATGATGGCCGTGGCGATGTTGACCTTTAGCCCGTAGATGATCATGTTTGCAATGCAGAGCATTATGGCGAACAGGAATCTGACGAAGCCCGCTGTGGTTGCAACAAACTCGTGATAGACGCTTAGGATCTCGGAAATATCCGCGATGGCGGGTCATATTAGGTTAACTTCGGCAAACTCGTCGTTTTCGCTGGAAAAGTCGCGGGTATACCGTGGTCCCGCGCGAGGGATTAAAGCCTTAAGTTCCACGCGAGGATTACATCGAAGAACGGAAAGCGGAAACTATTAAAATCGTTTATCGGTGGGAAGATAGTCGTCGCGAGATTCGACGTTAAAACACGTCCTCAGGAATTTTGAACAGAGTTGATTGCACGAAACCCGGCGGCAGGATAAAAATTGTTGCTCACCCATGTCTCTGGCTGTTCTTCAGACGTCGAGATTTCAGTCCTTTTGCTTGGTACTCGCGTTGATGAGCATCACGCTTCGCGTACACGCAATGTCGTCGTTCCTTATCTCTTTTCGCATCGATTCGACCGCGAAAGTCGGCTTCGTCTCGCGCATCCAGCGACTCGACGACAACTATCGAATTATCGTTAACGACGTACTCGATCGAAGTGTACCGATTTCCTCCAACGCGGATATCTTCTTCGGCACGATGTATCCAAATGTAGAGGAGCTCGACGTGACGTTTGGAACAACGTGTGTCGTTTGTTTCCAAAATCGACGCGGATTGCGAGTGGTCGACTACGTTGTGTAATTATAACGTTTCCTTTGTTTCTTTCTTCCTTTTTTATTTTACGATGACGTAAAAGAATTGTAGGATTCACTGTCTATCTTGTCGAAGTAGGACGAGTAGTTTTGTTTAGGTAGATCCACCATTTATTGGCTTTTCATTAAAAATTCTCTATTTGACTGATATTTTAACGAATTCTGACTCTGCACATATTGCTTCATCTGCTGTAAATAAACAATCAGTTATAGCTAATTCAGTGATAACGAAGATATATTTTACATCGCGTATATTTTATATGTCGATAATTTGGAATAATTACGTTATTCGCCTTAGAACGTAGACTGTTTTCCAAGTTTTTTTAACTGTAAGTACTGCCAAGTTTTTCCTCGCAATTAGAGGGAAATGAGAGCAATGGGGAATGGCTGGAAGGATTTGCGCGAGGAATAATATTTTTTTATTTCAAAAAGAAACAGTCGAAAGAATTGCCTTAATACCGACCTGAGATAACATCTTCTATCCGGAGTAGTAATATTTATTTATCCACAATTTTTCCAGTCTGTCTGGAAAGCGTTGAAAAGTTGCTTTGCCGAGCAAGGCTGAAATTTATGACGTTGGGTCGGAGATAATAAAATGCAAAGATTCTTATCCAGCGAATCGAGCAGCAGTCTATCGTTTATCCCTGAGTTTTGCTCCGTTGATAAATGGACTATATACGGAAGCTAAACCGATCAGCTCCATCGAGGTTAATCGTTCGTCTTTCAGAAAATTAAACGCTGGTCGCGTATTCCGATCTTTGACGAAATTTTCCAGAAGCTGATTTATTCGACTTTAACGGTAGAAATTGTCCCCGTGGGATTTCATTGCTTCGACCTTGTTTCAGCCGGTGGAAACATCGTACTTATCTAACGTCTGCAGCGATGTTTAAAGAAGTATCGATCGCTTAAAAGTTTTTATTGTGCCACGTCAACCTGTTGAATGCTTCTGGTATATATACGTTACATTTCCACCGAGTTCTCTATGAATCTAGCGACATTAGCGATTCCTATCAGCGGATAAATCGCCATAAATATCGAATAAACGTGCGCGTGTCTGTGTGGGAATTTCAGTTCCCACGACTGTAACAGTTCTCGCATTGCTATTTATATCAATTCTCGCGAATATTTTCAATTATTCACGACATCCTGGAATATTTTATTTTATAGTCGCATAATCTTTTCATATCCATTTGACAAGTTGGAAGATCTTTCATAGACAAAATTGTACATTCGTCTCTTCCGTTATTTTGATCAAGAAGTCATTAGTTCGGAACATCTTCGCGTAGGCACATGTCACTAAAATACCGTTTGATATCCACGATATTCATTTTCTCACTTACTTTATCCATATTTTCTCAACGCAGTTTTGGCTAGCAATGTATTAGATAACGACAGCGAGTAATTTTCGTTATTTATCGAGCCTCCTGTAACTGTCTTACTGTACAAGAGGCCGCTGACACACAGTGCTGATAAATCAGTGCATAGCTAAGTGATACAGGAACAATCTGATGCAGAGATAATGCGAGTCGATTGGACGACGTCACTGTTATCGGTACCCTCAACTACCTGATCAACAACGCGAGATTTACACAGCTTGCTGTGCATTTATAACGAACATCGGATATTATGAACAATGTTTAACTCGCGAAATAACTGGTCTGGTACTCGGATGGTGTTTGGTCAGATATAAATTATATTTGCTCCAAGTATCGTGACTCGTCACGAAAACGTATCGTTAGCCTTAATTCGGTGCCAAGAGCTGTTCCCGATAGATCTCGTCTCGTTCGTTGTATGGGTGAATCGAGAACGAATGGAACATAGAATTTCAAGTATTCGCAATCAAGGCCAACAGATCTTCCGAATTAATTCTGGATTCGAATGTGCAGAAATGGTTAAATTTGGTACTTGATCAACGATACCGCGGCTCTGATTGATTTAATCCAAAGGGAGCTTATTCGTATTACTCGTGCTTGGCATTTTATAATTCATCGAGTAGTAAAAGTGAACACGCGACAGAATTATCGAGCATAGTATCGCATGAAAATGAAATTGCGGTAATTATAAACGATCTTCAAAATTGTCCATGTGCAATCCCTTACAGGGTATAGTAACGAGAGTTTGTAAATTATTCGAATAATTTCCTAATGAAATTTCCTATGGTTGTTGACCAGGCATACATAGATTCGAATGGCAACGTTAATCCTAATTGTCATATTTTTATTTCATCCCTTTTCTGACAATTTTCATCGCGTCTTCACTGAGACTCACACGTTGTTCGGATAAATCCTTCGTATCCATAGTTTATTTTACAAATTACACTCGTCTGTTGATTCGTGGAACAAGTTTGCTGCCATATTTATGCACTTACGAGTCGACCTTCCTCGCTATCGATCCGAGGAAATTTTACCTGCCTCTCCATTCATGCATACCGCTCGTCTGCCGCTCGGTCTGACACATGTTTGACAAAGGTGCACCTGTAACGACCAACAACAGGCCGATCGATGCACCGGCAGACTTCCTTTAAACGTCGGCTCCTTTCACGTCGCGATGCAAACGACAGCCGTAACGAAATGTTTCGTGGGGACGGAACAGGAAGGATAGGGGTGATTACGACGACAGCTTACCGAGACGGATGACGCAGGCGGGACGAGCAGGTCGCGAATAACGTCGGGCAACTATCTCCAGCGTTTGTTCCTCATGGTGGCACGTACGCGTTTCATTCGTGGCCGAGGTGAACGCTCGCGCATATCCATACACGGAATATGGCGACTCGAGAAGGAGGTGAAATCCACTCGAGAAAATGCGAGGCTTCTAGCCGTTAAAAATGAATGTGCCATCACGCCTGGCACGGCCGGTCGAGGAAGGATGAAGTGGAAGAGAGGAAGAAAGGAAAAGGGGATCGAGCAAATGACGGAAAACAGAGGAAGAGGAAGGAAAAACGACGGAAAGAAGACGGGAAGAAGACGGTGCGTGGTATAAGAAGAGGCAACCCGTTTCACGACAGCTCACGGACACGAAGAAGCCTGAGAGGCGTCAGGACAGCGATGCCTGGTGACCGATTAAACAGAGACGCGCTTGAAAATCCCCGGATGGAACCGGTCTGAGAAGATTCAAGGCTCTCGAGATACTGCATTGTTCGGCTACGTTGGTCAGCCATTTTGCTGCCGCGACGATTCCCTTCAGAATGTAAACACAGCGACCTACTCGAAATAGAATCAGTCAAAGGCTGACACTTCTCGCCGGAGGAATACCAATTAGCTGCTGGAAGTCCGTGCTGCTAACAAGCGTGATGCCCTCTTGGCGTTCTTCGGCCTCCGTCCGCCACTCTCGGACCACCTACCGCGAAAGTAAAGCGAGGCGATACAAAGCGAAAGCGTTTCTTTCCTTTACCCCTCTGACATGGATCCTCCGCGTCCGGGACGCTACTAATTATAGGAGCCATGAGATATGGCTATAAGAGTTAATTCCTTCTTTTTTCTTTCATCTCGCCGTTCTGGCTCACATATTATAGTTTCGTAACTACGTCGTTTCACACTCGTCCTCCTTCCTTAGCTCGAGGCTACTGTCCATAGAAATTTTTCAGTTGTCCACTTTATTTCTGTCTAATTAAACTTGACATTGAAATTTCGGTTATTCGATTCTCTCTTTGGAAAGTTGCAATTCGGAATCGGAATTACAAATCGGAATTCTTGTTAAGAGATATCTCGTAAAATTGGACACCTCGTTTCTCTGTCTCTTTCTGACCAGAAAGATCCACAGATCTGTATACTATTTAGACAAGAATCTACTTGGCAACGCTATCGAAACCTCGAATTAAGATTAAATTGAAAGACAGGAATAAAGTTCGGAAAGTTGGAATAAAACGGATCGTCGAATCCAACTTGACGTGGAACAGCAAGCGGATGGGGGTAGATTGAAGCGCAGACTTGTAAATCAGGATGCGTGTGGGAAAAAAAGCTGGAACGCTTCATAAAGTTTGGAAAATCCACTCGTGGCTGGTAGTAATTTCCCGATCCTTCGCTATTGTCCATTCCGTCTCGATAAATCGACGGCAAACTACGTGGTTGATACAAGATTCGAGCGTCGATTGGGAGCAGAGTGTCCGTGGCGCATGGATTACGCTTAAATGGAAAACGCGAAGGTAAAGCTCGCAGGACGATACACATCGTATCGCTAAAAATATACACGGGAGACGAATGGCTGATATATGCGGGCATTAGTTATATAGGAGATATATGATGTACCGCAACGTCACTGTCTCTCTCTTTGCCTCTGGTCGCTGGATTTCCACGTTGCCATACACATCCAACATAATCGGGAACGACCCATATTTCCCCGCCGCAATGCGTCAACCTCCCCGCGATTCCGTTTCGTACCTCCATTTTTCATTCCTGGTCCGTGATCTCGGGTGTCCAAATTCACCTTCCGTGTCATCGAGAGCATCTACTATTCCACTGCCGTCATCCACATGCTCGTGCCATAGCGGCGAGCGAGCCACTCGAGGAAATTCCTTCAGGAACCGACGAAGGATACGGATCGACGGTGTTAGAATGACAAACAGTCACCGATGCTGCTGTAATAGACAAAACGTGTGTCGTCCTTTCTATTTATTTCGTCGAAATTCGTACGGATTGGTCTGTTAGCTGGACCGAGAGTATCCGTGGGATTTC